TCGTTCAATGCGCACGCCCAAAAAAAGGGAAGCGTGCGCGGCCAGCGGTATAGGCTTCCGGGCGACTAATTGGACAACTGGGGCTCTCATGAATTATTCGCCTAATGGCTCCCATTACAGAGCCATTTTTTCTCCACTAGGTTGCGCCGCTGTGGCATCGCATCTCGCGGATAGATTTCTCTTCCCCTCTCCCTCGTTTCTCTCTCACTCTTTACTATCGGCTGTTGCTTTTTTGTCTCTGGTTTTTGTTTCTTACTATTTGTTCCTCTCTATGTTCTCGATAGCTTCTCATTCCGACCGCGTGACTGACTGCAGTTTTTATTTCTTCTGTTTATCTCCGGTTCTATTTCGTTTGTGTTTTTTTTTTTGTCCTCGTTCAATTCGTGCTCTCGTTTATTGGGCCGTTCACTGTTTTATGGTTCGGGAAGGCTTTTCATTCGACTTTGATTTTTCCCTTTCCGCAATCCCTTTTACAGGTTGTCTGTCTCCGCCATAAGGCTAGGCCGTTTTGACAGTTGAACGTAATCTCTGGCGTGTGTACGCTTCCATCACGGTTAACGACTCATCCGAAGCGCTTTTGTGTTGCACCTGCTCACGTTTTAATGGCAGCACCCTGTAACAAAAAAAAAAAAGAAAAGAAACGTGTTACAGGGCTAGTTTGCACAAGGTGAGCATGACGTTGCAACGCAGCGTCGCGACAAAGCGTCTCAACCCCGCTAGATTTTAGACTTTCGTTCCAGTTAATTTAGTGACCGGGATTATGGCTAAATGCTCGGCCGCAAAAGTTCGTGAAGGTAATAGAATACTTGCCTTTTTTGTTACTAAGGATAATTATATTTATTTAATTCTACAAAATCAAATCTGCGGATAAATTTTTTTAGATTTTTATCACCAGGATTAAGATCATTTCTTTGTTTTGTTTATTGCAGAAGAGTGGCTTCCTTACATGTTCCTTACTAATGTTTCCCGAAACTCAAAATAATGAATTGGGCTGCTTTACATATCTTGTCGCAAAACAATTTTGAAATAAAGAATTGCATTCTACCGCCCCATACTTGAACAGTGTTTGTTTCCCCGCGCCTCCAACTGGTGTGCTTACCTCGTCCTAAGAAAGATGGTTCCTCGATTTTCGCCCCACGACTTCACAGAAGTGGTATGCTGTTGCCTATCGCGATCCTGCCTCTGGCGCAGCAAATCAAGTAGATGCGGCGGACGACTGTTCTTCTCTAGGCCGATCCGCAGTCGCAGTCAAACAGTTTACGAAAACCAAATGCAGGCGAGAGTTGAGACACCCAAGCGACAGCGACCCTTCTATCTCCGCTCGCTGGCTAGTGTTTCTTCAATGAACCGCCAGAATCGCGACATCCAACACTCCTGTGATGCAATCTGTTGCCCATCTCAGGACCATACTTTCGATTCTGGGGCGGTATGTAGGACGGTCAGCAGATCGGTCGTAGACGCGTTCGAAGCACCGTACTTTTAGTAATTTCCGTTGACTGTGGCGTTCCCGATAATCCATTTCCCAGAATGCGAAGTCAAGTTCACTTTGTCTTCATATTGCATTAATTAGCTCCCACCCGTATTAGTCCGGTCTTGCTCAAGGTGTCTCTTCTTGCTCAAGGCGTCTCTTCTCGGAACTGTCTTACGAACAAATTAACTGCGGAAATAAGATTACCTTCCCACAGTTATTTTGGATCTGTACACATACTGTCGTCAGTCCGCTGGTAACGATCGTTTTAAAGGTGGTCTCAAAGTGTGCTTCATTTTGACTTTGCGCAAAACAAACAAGTGCACCTCCCCGCCCCCTTTCCCTGTGGGGCTTAGACTAAAATCAACACTTGATCGTCTTCTATAGGAGTTGGGTGAGCGGATCAGCGTTTGCCAACAAAGGGCAGCTCCAGCTCTTTGTTTAGCTTTCCGCCGCCCCTGGTTCTAATGCAAACAGATTCGAGTCAAGCCGGGAATATTTCTTTCGCAAGTATCTAAAATTACGAAACCAAATCCACTCCCTTTCTCCTAGAACCAGTCCCTTCCACTTTGAACACAGAGTAAGTAATAATAATAAAAATAGCATACAGAGCACGCCACGACGGCGTGCTTCTTTTAGACGTACCAAGTTGGAAGCATGCGGACACACTGCAGCTGAGAAGAAAACCAATGGGTGTAAAACAAATAATATAAAAATACGACCAGAAAAAGAAAAACCTGGGGCTGAGAATCCGATAGGGGCGGTGTACTTTCTTTGGTTTCAGATCCTTTTTGTAGATCGGAAGTATCTGCTCGCTGACTTTGGCAAAAGGTTCGCATTAGGCCTCCTAAGACAAAAGGCCGTCATTTATTTATCTCTTGCTTTTCTTTCGAACAAGTCCCTACATCTCCAACCGCCCTACCAAGCTTTTTAAAGCTTTCATTCGAGAAAAAAAAAAACAGCTAAAAGAAAGACACAAAAAGGAGCTAAAAAAAACGCGCGGTCTTCGACGTTTTGCTGCCTTTCCTAACGCAAACAAATGTCCGAAAGTCCGTGCCCTTTCAGCCCCCTTCCCCTCATTTATTCCGCCCTCTTTACATTCGTGTGTAAGCGGTATTTCTCGTGTAGCGTGGCGTCCCCTCCCCCAATCTCCCTCCCTTCGATGGGCAACGTTAACGTAGCGCCCTCTTTTGCCCTTGCTGCGAAGTCACCCAGCGGCACCGCCCCTTTGGTGTAGTTCGCTTCTGATGGATTCCGATAGATGGCGTTTTCTCTTGTAGGCCGATCTTTTTCTTCCCCGCCTGGCGCAATCCGAATTGGGGACCACCTACAAATAACTGTAAGGCCGAAGAGAATAGCATGAAACTAAAAAAGAACGTACAGTGTCTGTACGTGGATAAAGAGTGTACGAATAAAGTATTACGAAGGAAAGACTACGAAACGAAAAAAAAAGGGACAGGAACATACTAATGCGGTCTTTGAATAGCGTGACCTTAGCGTTCTGCGTCCGCTTAGTCAAACCTTCATAATAGCGGCGCTGCTTCAACCAGAATTCGGAGAACACTAATTCTAGACGGTATAGTCTCTCAAGGGGATTCCTATAAAAATCGCGATCATCAGGTATCCCCTCGCATGAACTTAATAGTGTTTGGTTTCATTTTTTTACTTAGGTTATAATTGATACCCGAAGGAAACACGATGGAATTCTTATGTTTGAAATTCTTGGTTAGTGCTAATTTCGACATTAACTTCTTGCTTCACTGATTTACTGTAGACATTACGCATTGTCATTCATTGGGTTTCATTATAAACTTAATGAAAGTTTCAGAGGCGATAGCATCTGTGCGGCGCTATTAGAGGCATTAGCACGACTAAAAAAAATATAGAATAATAATCTCATTCTTTGTTTCATTAGGGAAACAGGGGAACCGAAAGAAAGGGTACAATGACTGCTTGACGAGGCTTCGGGTTCCCTTTACAGCAGGCAAAAAGCAACAAATACAAATTCACAAAAAAAAAAGAAAGAAAAGAAAAAGAGTACCACTTTCAAATGAAACAGACGGTAAGACACTTTGACCACAGCACACACACACACACAAATACAATATAAAGAATAAAAATATAGCATTCAACACATGGCAGTGTGTAGACATGTATACACTACACTTAGCCTACTGTTAGAAAAAACACTGAAAAAATATGCGCTTACCTCTGCCAGCATCATTGCATCAATGTCCAAGCCTGCAACAAAAAACTCATTTAATACGGTAGTCAATTGGTGATTTAATCTCTGGTTAAAATCTCTATAAATCCTTGGTATAGCGAATACCACGTTTCAAGGATATCGATTACTAAAGCAAAGTGCCCGCACCCATTCCTTTCAAAACACTTTAAATCACCGAGAAGACCTTTATGCTAGCCGGGACTTCTACTGAAACAGAATCCATGCAGACCACGCGAATTTTGTATCCAGCGGTGGCCTAGATACAGTGTTGTAGGCGTTACCGAAAAGAAGTAGCGAAATACGTTACTCGTTAATCGCAAATAAAAGTAACGCGTTACCGTCCTACGTTACTTCAAAATAAAAGGAACGGGTTACTGTTACCAATAAAAACAGAGGCACGTTACTTTTATGTTACTTCCTAATTATGAATTAGCACGTTTTACGATTTAGCGTTACAGTTATGCATAAGCGCCATATTTCATGAAACATTATTTCTATGCAAAAATTGAAGCTAATGACTATCTTTTTTACGCTTTCACCTAAATATTCACCAGAAAAAACGCTAAGAAAAACGAAAAAAAAAAAACTCAGCAATTCACATGGCTCGGCGGCTAGAAACACGCAAAAAATTGAAGCGCAACTTTATTTTTTTTTTGTCTTACGTTTTGGGATGAGAATTAAGGGATAGCGCAAGTTCATTACCCGTTACTCGAAATAAGTAACGTAAGTACGTTACCCGTTACTGTTTGAAAAAAAAAAATAACGAGTACGTAAGATGTTCCCGTAAAAAGTAACGTGTTACCGGTAACGTCGTTACTTACAACGCGTTACTGCCACCATTGCTGAGATGGCGCCACTTGCGCTCCATATAAGGTGAAACCAATTTATTCCTGCGCTGTATGAGCCCATTCTCACGATGCACTCAGCAGCAATGCACTCGCCTAAATAAAAAGACAGATGGTAAATCCACGAATAGCTCCTTTAAATCGGGCGCCAGCTTGCGCCATCTATCCGCTGAACACCAATAGACCGATCTCACCAGCCAGTTGGACTACGCCACCGCTGCCGCAATGCATCGAGGGAACTTTAGTCTTTGTGCACGTGCGACAACCTCGCTGGAGCTCTGCGTGTGTTAAGCACGAGACGGCACGAGCCCTCTCCTGCACTGCCGTTGGCATCTTGTGAACTAAAGTTATGGCAGCGTCACGCATGCGTCGAACGCTTGGTGAGATCGGTCTATTATTGACTCGATCGATGATGGTCCTCGTGGTTTTACCCTCCAATTTTTTAAATTGGTTCTCATTCCAGGTGGCCTGGCTGCGCGTGGAGAGCAAGACCATCCTGACCATCCACAAGAGCGTGATCACGCAGAACTACCGCGTGCACTTGAGTCCGTCGGACCGCAGCTGGCTGCTCGTCATCGACGGGGTCACCGAGGCCGACCGGGGCGGCTACATGTGCCAGGTGAACACGGTGCCCATGCGCAGCCAGGTCGGCTACCTCGACGTGCTCGGTGAGTGTACACGCACTCTCATGTCCCTCGACTCTCCCGGCACGTGTCGCAGGTGCAGTTGATCAGATAGCTGGAGTTATGTACGTGTCAGGAATGCACTTCTAACTTGCAGCGTAACCTTGTGGATACCCATCAGTGTCACCACGTTAAAGGCCGACGACCAGACTTGAGATTCTGCAAGGCAGAAGATCTTCCTCACCATGGGGGAGAAAGAAACAGGAAATGCTGGAAAGTGTAGAAGGGGGAGAGGAGGAAGCGGGGGAAAAGTGAAAAGCACGAACTGGTCGTCGGTCTTTAAACTCACTACGCGCCAAGCCGCCGCAATGCGATAGGTTGGCACGTATACTTTGGCAACTCCGAGTCACCGCTGCAAGAATCAGACGGAGATAGGTCGTGCTGATTATAACGCTGACCAATTCAACCCTTTCGCTCATTTCAATATCTCGCTGACTGCCAAGTGATCATCGTCATGACGTCAGTTATTGACGTTGCATTCCGCCCTCTATCACGCGCACCAAATAGTAAACTCAGCCGCGCGCCAGACCCTGGAAACAAACCTCAGCTGTCCTCTTCATACCACAGCCCTGGTCGATCGCCATATCCGTCTACTCGCAAGTTATTTCTGAGTTCGGATCGAAGAGCGAGAACGTTGTCGTGTTTGTAGAAGCATATCTTAACATGTAACCGTCTACCTCCCCCCCCTCTTTTCTCTACGTCGACCGAGATGCCGACGTCTCTGTCTTTTCCTTCTCTCCCACCGTCATCACTTTTCGTAGAACCCTTTCGATGATATGACAACGTTGTCCGTTTATGTAGACGTATTAGGAGCTTGCTGTCTCCACTACACTCTTTCTCTTCCTTTTTCTTTTTCCCTATCTCTCTTTTTTCTCGCGGGAGCGATGGAATCGATGCCCACATCGATCTGTATCGCGTATCGAACGACTTCCCTCACTGCCGGCGAGAACCAGCGGCTCCGTTTGCTCTGCGCCAGACCGGTGACCGCAGAATCGAAGTCCCTCCATGGGGCGACACAAAGGCACCGCCCTTTTCTATGGCGCGCCCGGCCTTCTCTCACCTCCATCTCTTGGGCCAATCTTTAGAGATATCGTTCTCTCATCAAAAACACCTCATCAGCTCCAATCCGTCCTCCTTTCCCGGTTTTATCTTCTTTCCTTTTCCATCCATCGGCCTGCGTTCAGAGCTGCTGTCTTGACACTCCGGTGCTTGTCGATGGCAGACATTGAGCTGTCTGTAGTGCGGTGAGCGAGATTGGACGAGAGGCGGATTGCGAGCTCCGAGGTCTCCTGGCTCGGCAAGAGCCCTTCTACCGCAGATGAAATTACTTCACTGCAGCTTGATTAATATGACGGGACCTCAGAGCGAATTATTCGGTGACGACAAGTCTTGTGATTTAGAGGAATAGGAGGTGTGTGGCTGAATTGCCTGTCCAAGGGTGACATTACTCGCCTCATCACGCCTACGTAAAACTTTGTAGTTAAAATTTCATGGCACGGCTTGACTACTGTACTGAGGTCGAGCGTAGCTTATTCTTAAAATACGATATGCGCTTGAAATAAAAGAACTTCATTAAATTTAAATTGTAGGTAATTAGCTAAATAATTAACCCATTTTGCTTTCTTTTCTTATTGGCCATCATGGCCACCAAATTGACCCAAAGGCTAAAAACATTCTAACTGAAGTTCCTACCATTTTCTTAATTACAACAAAGCTAAAAAAAAAAAAATCATCGTCTTAAAATTTACCTTACGTAAGTCCACATCTGCTGGGTGTTCATATTTCACACTTTATTGAAATTATTAATTCTACAGTCTGAAATTACGAGGCAGAGGAAACGTTCGCGGTAGGAGCTATGAGGCATGACGGACCAAATTACGTTGATGCATGCTTTTCATATATCAAAAGTTAGGCAGCGTTTTGATGTGCAACCTTGAAAATCCAGTTAATACTTCTACAAATGTTACATTTAGGACAGGAGATTGAACTGACGTATCTAATCTTGTTGTTTTATAGTTATATTGGTCATATTTATGGCTCCGTGTTTTCGGATAAACCCGAAAAACTCCGAAAAACACCCGCCGGTAAAATTATGGTCAATTCGGATTTATCCGATAAACTCCGAATGTTTACGTGTCAATGTTTTTATTTTTTTTTTTTTAGTTTGATCAGCACAGTGTCAATCGTCCTGGGAAAATTACACCATAATTATCTTTCAAATCTCGGACCGTTGTCAACAGGGGTCTTGCCGCTTGTCTCTTCAAGGTTGATTCAGGGCAACAGGTCGTTCGTTGTACATCCGGGTCACGACAAAAGGCACTCTTTTGGTTTCCGGTTTGGGCCATGCGATTTGTGATTCAGAGAAAGCAAAGGGTATGTATTGGTAACAGTGAAAGCTATGGACCATAGGGATTGTATAAAATTGGGAAGAAGAGCAGTTCAAACTCTCTATTACCTCCTTAACCACTCCACCTCACGCGGCCGCGGGCTAGATTGATGAAATAGGGTGGGGTGACTACGAGCTTCCTAGCGACTACGTCCGGGAGTTTATTGATTTTAAGGTGTCGGCGTTTATCGAAGTGCCACTTGTGTGTGACTTTTGTCGTGGATAAACAGCGCTACGTCCGTGTCACTTCTTTGTCTGGTCCTCGTCTTTTCGCGCTGTTTTTAATTCCGATGGAGAAATTAGTATTGCCAATGGCAATGGCACCAACGCCAAATTCAACTGAAAATATTTCAATTGATACAAGCGCGTCTTCTTTTTTTAAAACCTGGAATACGTTTACATTCGGTTATTATTTATTTATCAATTTTAATAGGAAACACGACAAAATTAAACTCCGAATTTCGGAGAATTGGGAATCAAAAAAATATAAACTCGGATAAACTCCGAATCTTCGACAAAAAATAAACTCCGAAAAACACCCTCCGAATTTGACGAAAAATAAACTCCGAAAACACGGAGCCCTAGTCATATTGTAGAAACAGCGCAAAAGACATGGACGGAGCAGAACAAACACGCAAACTGGACGAGCGCTGACTCGCAACTGAAGTTTTTATCGCTTGAAACAGAAGGGACGAACGTACCATAAAGGAAGGCACCAAACAGGCACTATCAGTGATACATTTGCCAAAACCAACGTTAATAGAATCACTCAATTGGTTAACTGCTATAGAGCCTGTTCTGAAAACGTGGCACCGATCCGCACTCGAGAACCGAGCTAATGGCGATCGCAACGCCGCCATTTCTCCCGCAGCGTCCACTCGAGGAACTGCACGGCTGCTTGTATTGGTCCGGGAGTATCGCATTCGATAGAATCGGCCGTTTTGGCGCTTAAACGTATACGCTAGAAGGGGTTTCAGGGATGCCAATCCCCGTCTCCCAAGCGGACGCGCCGCGAAATACTACCGAAGTTGAGATGCGCCTAGGTCGGGACGTGCTACCTGAAATCACCGGTGAGACATGGTTGTATAAAAGCAATATTAATTTTGCCGTAAGGCCTTCTAAACTAAAAATTAAAGAAAAAATATCACGCACCTGTTATTTTGTACTAATCTCCAATAAACGTTCTTGCAAAGAGAGCTTTCTTTTTCGTTTGTGTTTACGCAAAAGCTTGCTTTCTCAGAGCTTAAGGTGACCACAGCAAAGAAAAAAGATTGACCCGCCATCTTCGCACCTCAAGCGTGGGAGTTTCGGTACTTTGGAAACGTTCGGTGACTCTAGCAGTAGCCATATAAGGCCACTTTCATGTTTCAACTTGCCCCGCAGGGGGCACCTGTGAAAGCAGGTGTTTGGAGAGTGGCGTCTCCACGGACCCCGAACCATGCGGGTTCGCCCGCCCACGTCTGGCTGTGCGTGGCTTTCCCGTGTCTGGGGAAAAGGGAATCCTGGTGGTTGAGCTGAGCCCGGGGTAGGTTTGGACCCTTCGGGGCCCCCCGGGTGAGGCAATACACCACTTCGGCCCCCGCTTCTCATAGACGGGAGTCCTGGTAAGGCCCGGCCAGGATGATTCAGTCTAGTCGCCATTTCTTCTACTATCCCCTCCGATCTCTCACTTTTACCTTTCCTGTTTCCTTTACTTCTCTCTCACTTATCTTACTCCTTCTTCACCCCTCTTTGGCGGCAAGGGCTAACCTTGGGTGGCAATGGACCTCTGTCTTGACCCACACTTGGGTATAGTTTCCCGGCAGCACTGTTAGCGTAACGTCTCCAGCCAAGCCCTTCTTGTTATGGTGCGTTACCTAACCCCTTGTTGGGCTCGGTGGTGGGCGGTGCACCGCGGATTCTGAACACCTTTTGCCCTCCTATGGCGCCCCACCCCTCTAAACCCCGTTCAGGGCAAGCCTTTAAAAGGCGTTGTCTTGAACCCAAGATTACTGACAAAGATCCTGAAATTGAAACATTTACAAAGTTGTTCATTGTTCATTCGCTCGATGAACATAAACCTGTTGCAAAGCTGTCGCCTTTTGTTGTTGCCAAAGTACTGGAAAACCTTGTCGGGTTCTCCTACAAGGCTAAAAAGCAGCACTCCGGAGACCTCTTAGTGGAGGTAACCACCAAAAAACAAAGTGAAGCGATCCTGAAGTTGACTAGTTTTCTTGATGTCAAAGTGTCAGTTAGCCCTCACCGCACGCTCAACACCATCCGTGGGGTCCACTCCGAGGACGACTTCTTGCACACTAGTGAGGAAGAACTCCTCGAGGGACTCCAAGGTGTTGGTGTTGTTGCTGTTAAGCGCATTATATTCCGAAAAAATGGTGAGGAAATCCCTTCCAAACACGTCATTCTTACATTTGAACGACACACACTGCCAGAAACCATCAAGGCAGGATACCTTAATTGCCGCATCCGCCCCTATGTCCCCAACCCCCAGCGGTGCTTCCGTTGCCAGCGCTTTGGCCACGGATCGCGCAGCTGTCGAGGGAGAGAGACTTGCGCAAAGTGTGGTAGCCACGACCATCAAGCCGACATCTGTGAAGATGTC